CTGGGCAACTGAATCACTCAGAAAAATGACCTCAGATACTGACATTAGAGGATCTCCCCAAAACAGCGCTATCCGAACCAGTCCTTCAGCAGTGACTTGGAAAAGTCCTGCCCACATAAACTGAACAATTAGTATCTCTGCATCTCTCATATATATTAAATACAGACAATGCATTTTAAGAAAACTTTTTTTTTGAGAGAGTCTCTCTGTTGCTGCTGGAGTACAGTGGTGCAATCCTGCCTCACTGCAGCCTCCGCCTCCCAGGTTCACAAGCGATTCTCCTGCCTCAGCCTCCTGAGTAGCTGCGATAACAGGCACCAGCCACTGTGCCCGGCCAATTTTTTTAGTATATTTTTAGTAGAGAGGGTTTCACCATGTTGGCCAGGCTGGTCTCAAACTCCTGACCTCAAGAGATCTGCCTGCCTCGGCCTCCCAAAGTGCTGGAATTCCAGGCGTGAGCCACTGTGCCTGGCCAAGAAAACTGTTAACATGAAACAAACATTTCAAAATAATTCATATGAAAGAAAAACATTTCTTAGAACAGAAGAAAAGTCAAATCTATGTAAGTAATAACCCTTACAGAGATAAGAGAACCAATGTACTCCATGAAAACAAGAATAGATCAAAAGGTGCACAGATTGAGCATGTCTAACTCTTAAAATCCAAATGCTCCAAAATCCAAAACTTTTGGAGCACTAACATGATGCTCAGAGGAAATGCTCTTTTTGGAGCACTTCAGATTTTGTGACTTTCTCAGACTGGGGATTCTGAACTGCTAAATATAATGCAAATACTCCAAAATTAAAAAAACTAAAATCTAAAACACTTCTGGTCCCAAGTATTTCAGATATGAGACACACAATGTGTATTTAGTGAATGAGAAAGTTTAAGAAATTAAAAGTACAATGAAAAATGAAAATTTAATAGAAAGATTATAAAGATAACCAGATGCCTCCTAGAAAACAGTAGAAAGAGACGGCCAGGCACTGGCTCACGCCTGTGTAATCCCAGAACTTTAGGAGGCTGAGGGATGAGTCCAGGAGTTCAAGCCCAGCCTGGAGCAACACATGGCAAACCCCATCCCAGAAAAAGTAAAATTTAAAAATTAGCTGGGTGTGGTGGCACAGCTACTCGGAATGCTGAGGCAGGAGGATCATTTGTGCCTGGGAGCTCGAGGCTGCAGTGAGCCATGATTGTGGCACTGCACTGCAGCCTGGGCAAAACAAAGCAAGACCCAAAAGAGAGAGAGAGAGAGAGAGAAGAGGGATGATAGAAAGGAAAAGAAAATAGAAAGAGATGAAAAAGTGTAAAATGTTTAAAAATAGGAAAGCAAGTAATAGCTGCAGGGTTCCGTAGGAAAGAGAAAAAATGTAAGAAAGTTATCAAATGAATAATACAACAATAGTTCATGAACTGAAGGTCACAAGCTTTAGATTAAAAACACTCCAATGAGTGTTTCAAATTAAAATAGACAAAGGTATACATATATTGTAAAATTCTAAATCACCAAAAAGAGAAAGAGAAAGAGAGAGTCCTAAAAGCTTCAGATTTTTAAAAAACAAGCATTCAAATCAGAATGGGATGGGACTCTTCAGCAACGCGCAAACTAGAAGACAACAGAAAAATGCTCTCCAACATTCTGAAGAAGAGTCACTTCAACCCAAAAGTTGATATCAAATCAAAACATCAAATCGATGTGAGGGAAGAATAAAGACACTTTAAGACGGGCAACAAGCATTTCCATGCAATCTTTTCTCAGAAAGCTGCTTGAGGATGTACTCTACCAAACAAATTTTAAAAAAAGGTACTCCCCTATAAAAAAGTAGCATGGGATCTAAGAAACATGATGACCCTCCATTAATATTTTGGGGCAGGCCTAGAAAGTATCCAGTCTAAATTCGAGGATAGAGGGGAAGTTGGGAGGAGGGTCCAAGAAAGAAAGGAACTTCTGATTATCTGGGGATTACCTTTGGGAAAACTGATTAAGAGACATCTTACAAAACTGTTAAAGGAGATTGAAGCTGGAAAAGCAAATCTAAAACCAAGCAATTAAAAAAATTGTTCTAAAAAGAATGCTATCAGATAAAGCACGGTGGCTCATGCCTGTAATCCCAGCACTTTGGGAGTCCAAGGTGGCGAATCACTGTTGGAGGCCAGGAGTTCTGGAGACCAACCTGGCCAACATGGAAACCCCGTCTCTACTAAAAATACAAACATTAGCTGGGTGGTGGTGGCAGGTACCTGTAATCCCAGCTACTCGGGAGGCTGAGTGGCGCACAGGAATTTGCTTGAACCTGGGAGGCAGAGACTGCAGGTGTGAGCTGAGATTGGCTGCACCACTGTACTCCTGCCAGGCAAGCAGTGAGACTAGAAAAGAAGTTGTTGTTGTTGAAAGAAGAAAAAGAAAGAAAGAAAAAGAAAGAAAAAGAAAAGAGCTTAATCCAAATATGTTAACACTAAATTGGGAGGAAAGGTGAGGGGACAAATGTATGTACAGGAAGTGATGCAAGGGTGCTAAATCCCAACCTTCCAGATAATATCGAAACTGGAAAATCAACAAATGAGAGTCTAGCAATGCTTTTTGGAAATAGAAAAGTAAATACAAGAAAAAGCTAAAAGTGTTAAGTTTGAAGGTGGTTGCCTAGAAAAAAGCAATGGAGGGTGGGGAGAAGTGGGGCAGGTGTACGATGCTCTGCTGTTGCAATCTTGTTTTTTTTTTTTTTTGGAGACAGAGTTTTTTCGCTCTTGTTCCCCAGGCTGGAGTGCAGTGGTGCAATCTTGGCTCACTGCAGCCTCCGCCTCCCAGGTTCAAGTAATTCTCCTACCTCAGGCTCCTGAACAGCTGGGATTACAGGCATCTGCCCCCATGCCCAGCTAATTTTTTTGTATTTTCAGTAGAGAAGGGGTTTCACTATGTTGGCCAGGCTGGTCTCAAACTCCTGACCTCAAGTGATCCACCTGCCTGGACTCCCAAAGTGCTGGGATTACAGGCATGAGCCACCACGCCTGGCCAGTAAGCAAGGTCTTATGGGACAAAGGAGCCTATGTCTGAGCAGAGGAGACAAAGGTAATGTCTGTGTCCAGCATTCCTTGCTGCCCTACTTGCATCCAACATTTACTTTGGTCCATGAGCTCAGAATCTATAATGTGTAGGAGTTCATTGAGACTCAAAACTATCAGATGATAAACATGTTATGTCGACAACTGAGTAAGGGACGGGGGGCAGTGACAGGCCCAGAGGCTGCATTTTCCATTTGAACCAGACTTACTTCAAATGCAGAAAGAAGACAATGACCAAGGAGCCCCACCGTCCTTTCTTACTCATGTTAACACCCCTGTATTAGCCAATCGCTATGCAGAAAATGAAGACATGGGAGGAAAGAGAACCCCATAGTTCCTTCTCCTTTCAGTCTTTCCTTCCTCATTGGTAACAAAAGGTAGAGAGCCTGGGTAAATTGTGCCCATATCAAGGAGTGAGATGAAACCAGTTGAGATAGTTTTATTCTATCTCATCATCTGGTAAATATCAGCTACAAAAGATGAACTGTGTAATTTTGGTGACTCTGCATACAAGTTAATACAACTGACCTTTGAACAACATGGATTTGAACTGCACGGGTCCACTTATACGTGGATTTTTTCCCACCTCTGCCATCCCTGAGATCATCTCCTGCCTTTCTCCTTCCTCTTCAGACTACTCAACATGAAGAGGATGAGGATGGAGACCCTTATGATGATCCACTTCCACTTAATGAGGAGTGAACATATTTTCTCTTCCTTATGATTCCAATAACATTTGCTTTTCTCTAACTTACTTTATTGTAAGAACACAGTATATATTATATATAACATACAAAATATGTCTTAGCTGTTTATGTTATCAGTAAGGCTTCCAGTCAACAGTAGGCTATTAGTAGTTTTGGGGGAGTCGAAAGCTATACATGGATTTCCAATTGCACAGTGGTCAGCACCCCGACCCCCAAGTTGTTCAAGGGTCAGCTATACTCTTATATTTGCATTTAAAACTGGCACTGAACAAAATAAAGATGAATGGTACAATTTATGCCAATAATTTAAATTTAAAACTTTTTCTTACTTAGAACAACATTAAATCGCAAATTAAAAAAAAAAACAAAAAACACCAGAACAGGCTAGGCATGGTGGCTCATGCCTGCAATTCTAGCACTCTAGGAGGCCAAGGTGGTTGGATCATCTGAGGTCAGGAGTTGAAGACCAGTCTGGCCAACATGGCAAAACCTTATCTCTACTAAAAATACAAAAATCAGTCAGCCATTATGGTGCACACCTGTAGTCCCAGCTACCCAGGAGGCTGAGGCAGGAGAATCTCTTGAACCTGGGAGGCAGAGGTTGCAGTGAGCCAAGATCACACCATCGCACTCCAGCCTGGGAGACAGAGCGAGACTCCGTCTCAAAAAATAAACGAACAACAACAGCAAAAACACCAGAACAAATGAAGAGAACATGAAAAAAAGGAGAAAGCTTCACATTTCAGTTCCCTTAGTGGCCCCTTCTTCCTGCCTCTCACTGGACCTTGTGGCTGACCCTTGCTTCCTCCAGCCTCGTTTTCTACGCAGCCTTGGCTCCCATAGACTTGCTCAGGGTTCTGCCGTTCCCTGAAAAGCTCTCCTGCTCCTTCACGGCTGCAGGCCTTTCTCAGGCTTCCTCTACCAGGAACGCTATTCTTCTCCCTTCTGCACATGTGTGAATTCTCGCTCCTCCTCCAAGTTCAAGCTCAGGTGTCCCTTTGAGGAGAACATTTGGGACGCCAGCACCACATCTTTGCCAGGTGCCCCTCTGCTTCCCTCTACCCCGGCTCTGCAGTATGACTGTCTGCATCTCCCCCATTAGACCTTGACCTCACAGATCAAGACCTTGTCCCTCTGCTTCCCTCTACCCCTCCAATGTGACTGTCTGCAGCTCTCCTAGTAGACCTTGACCTCATGGATTAAGGCGCAGGGGCCCGGTGCTGGAGGACTTACTCAAGGAACCTGGTGATGTACTGGCGGCTGCAGCGGGACCAGGTGAGAGGAGCGGCGTCGTACAGGAGCTGTGGAGACATGATGAAAGGCCGTTTCCCAACGGGTTCACAGTCATTGCCGCTTCCGTCATGCTGAATGCCAAAACTGTGTGAGAGCACAGGCCCCAGGGGCGGGTGAGCTGGCGGGAGGCTGCCAGCCTGCCCTCCCCTGGAGATCCACAAGGGGCACAGCCCTAGTTCCAGGGCTGGTTCTGCCACCCAATGGCCACACCCAATGGCTGCCGAAAGTCACATTCCCCTCTCTGAGCCTCAGTTTCCTTAATGTAAAATGAGGGTATGACAGCTAGGACCCCAAGGGCTCCTGCTCCAGCCTGAAATGAGGGCCAGGGACCCAGAGCAGCCCTGCCCCTGCCTGGGGGCTGGCCAGCAATGGCAAACCAGGAAGAAAGAAGAAGAAGAGAGAGAGAGAGAGAGAGAGAGAGAGAGAGAGAGAAGAGAAAGAAAGAGAAAGGAAGAAAGAAAGAAAGAAGAAAGAAAGAAAGAAAGAAAGAGAAAGAAAGAAAGAAAGTAGTCTTATTACACAACACTTAGTTCAGCCATCAAGATTTATAGCTGTAATAATGAAAATGCGGAATATGGACTTAATCCAAATATGTTAACACTAAATTGGGAGGAAAGGTGAGGGGACAAATGTATGTACAGGAAGTGATGCAAAAGTGCTAAATCCCAACCTTCCAGATAATATCGAAACTGGAAAATCAACAAATGAGAGAGTCTAGCAGTACTTTTGAAATAGAAAAGTAAATACAAGAAAAGCTAAAAGTGTTAAGTTTGAAGGTGGTTGCCTAGAAAAAAGCAATGGAGGGTGGGGAGAAGTGGGGCAGGTGTACGATGCTCTGCTGTTGCAATCTTGTTTTTTTTTTTTTTGGAGAACAGAGTTTTTCGCTCTTGTTCCCCAGGCTGGAGTGCAGTGGTGCAATCTTGGCTCACTGCAGCCTCCACCTCCCAGGTTCAAGTAATTCTCTCCTACCTCAGGCTCCTGAACAGCTGGGATTACAGGCATCTGCCCCCATGCCCAGCTAATTTTTGTATTTTCAGTGAAGAGGTTTCACTATGTTGGCCAGGCTGGTCTCAAACTCCTGACCTCAAGTGATCCACCTGCCTGGACTCCCAAAGTGCTGGGATTACAGGCATGAGCCACCACATGCCTGGCCAGTAAGCAGGTCTTATGGGACAAAAGGCCTATGTCTGAGCAGAGGAGACAAAGGTAATGTCTGTGTCCAGCATTCCTTGCTGCCCTACTTGCATCCAACATTGCTGGTCCATGAGCTCCAGAATCTATAAATGTGTAGGAGTTCATTGAGACTCAAAACTATCAGATGATAAACATGTTATGTCGACAACTGAGTAAGGGACGGGGGGCAGTGACAGGCCCAGAGGCTGCATTTTCCATTTAGACAGACTTACTTCAAATGCAGAAAGACAATGACCAAGGAGCCCCACCGTCCTTTCTTACTCATGTTAACACCTGTATTAATCGCTATGCAGAAAATGAAGACATGGGAGGAAAGAGAACCCCATAGTTCCTTCTCCTTTCAGTCTTTCCTTCCTCATTGGTAACAAAAGGTAGAGAGCCTGGGTAAATTGTGCCCATATCAAGGAGTGAGATGAAACCAGTTGAGATAGTTTTATTCTATCTCATCATCTACAGAAGTAAATATCAGCTACAAAAGATGAACTGTGTAATTTTGGTGACTCTGCATACAAGTTAATACAACTGACCTTTGAACAACATGGATTTGAACTGCAGGTCCACTTATCGTGGATTTTTCCCACCTCTGCCACCTGAGATCATCTCCTGCCTTTCTGCTTCCTCTTCAGACTACTCAACATGAAGAGGATGAGGATGGGAACCCTTATGATGATCCACTTCCACTTAATGAGGAGTGAACATATTTTCTCTTCCTTATGATTCCAATAACATTTGCTTTTCTCTAACTTACTTTATTGTAAGAACACAGTATATATTATATATAACATATAAAATATGTCTTAGCTGTTTATGTTATCAGTAAGGCTTCCAGTCAACAGTAGGCTATTAGTAGTTTTGGGGGAGTCGAAAGCTATACATGGATTTCCAATTGCACAGTGGTCAGCACCCCGACCCCAAGTTGTTCAGGTCAGCTATACTCTTATATTTGCATTTAAAACTGGCACTGAACAAAATAAAGATGAATGGTACAATTTATGCCAATAATTTAAATTTAAAACTTTTTCTTACTTAGAACAACATTAAATGGAAATTAAAAAAACAAAAAACACCAGAACAGGCTAGGCATGGTGGCTCATGCACCTGCAATTCCTAGCCTCTAGGAGGCCAAGGTGATTGGATCATCTGAGGTCAGGAGTTCAAGACCAGTCACAGCCCAACATGGCAAAACCTTATCTCTACTAAATACAAAATCAGTCAGCCATTATGGTGCACACCTGTAGTCCCAGCTACCCGGGAGGCTGAGGCAGGAGAATCTCTTGAACCCAGGAGGCAGAGGTTGCAGTGAGCCAAGATCACACCATTGCACTCCAGCCTGGGGAGACAAGGCGAGACTCCGTCTCAAAAAATAAACGAACAACAACAGCAAAAACACCAGAACAAATGAAGAGAACATGAAAAAAAGGAGAAAGTTTCACATTTCAGTTCCCTTAGTGGCCCCTTCTTCCTGCCTCTCACTGGACCTTGTGGCTGACCCTCGCTTCCTCCAGCCTCGTTTTCTACGCAGCCTTGGCTCCCATAGGCTTGCTCAGGGTTCTACCCGTTCCTGAAAAGCTCTCCTGCTCCTTCGGCTGCAGGCCTTTCTCCAGGCCTCTACCAGGAACGCTATTCTTCTCCCTTCTGCACATGTGTGAATTCTCGCTCCTCCTCAAGGATTCAAGCTCAGGTGTCCCTTTGAGAGAACATTTTGGGACGCCAGCACACATCTTTGCAGGTGCCCCTCTGCTTCCCTCTACCCGGCTCTGCAGTATGACTGTCTGCATCTCCCCATTAGACCTTGACCTCACAGATCAAGACCTTGTCCCTCTGCTTCCCTCTACCCCTCCAATGTGACTGTCTGCAGCTCTCCTGGCTAGACCTTGACCTCATGGATTAAAGAGGCGCAGGGGCCGGTGCTGGAGGACTTGCTCAAGGGAACCTGGTGATGTACTGGCCCCGGCTGCAGCAGGACCAGGTGAGAGGAGCGGCGTCGTACAGGAGCTGTGGGAGACATGATAGAAGCCGTTTCCCAACGGGTTCACAGTCATTCCGCTTCCAGAGTCATGCTGAATGCAAAACTGTGTGAGAGCACAGGCCCAGGCGGGTGAGCTGGCGGGAGGCTGCCCAGCCCTGCCCTCCCCCTGGAGATCCACAAGGGGCACAGCCTAGTTCCAGGGCTGGTTCTGCCCGCAATGGCCACACCCAATGGCTGCCGAAAGTCACATTCCCTCTGAGCCTCCAGTTTCCTTAATGTAAAATGAGGTATGACAGCCTAGGACCCCAAGGGCTCCTGCTCCAGCCTGAAATGAGGGCCAGGGACCCAGAGCAGCCCTGCCCCTGCCTGGGGGCTGGCCAGCAATGGCAAACCAGGTGGCACAGATGGAGACCGTGATGGCCCCCTGCAAGCTCACTGGCCCTCCAAGAACAGTCTGACAGAGGTTCCCACTCACAGGTCCTTGTCCAAGGCTGTGCGCCGAGTTAAAGGGATCTGAGCTGCTGTCACGAAGGTCTCCAGAGACCATCCTTGGGGAGAAGGACACGAAAAATTATTTCCTGAGCATCTGCACTGTGGCTTACTTAGAGGGCCATGCTAATGCTTTCCAGAAACACAGTCTCACTCCAGTTCTCATTATTACCCCCAGGGGAGCTCAGAGTCTAAGGAACTAGCCAGGAGAGTAACACAGCCAGGGAATTGCAGTACTGCGGCAGGCTGTTCTTTCTGCGACCATAGAGCAGCTTTAAGGTCCTGCAGGCACAGCCATGCCATGAAACCCGGACATCTGAATGGATAGCCCCAGCAGCTTTGACCACAGAACCCTCTGGGATCCTGCCTTTGAAAGCTTGCTGGACAATCTAAGATGCTGCCATATTCACCAGCTCAACAGCCCGGGCACAGGTGGCTGGAGGCCTGTGAAGGCAGGAGCCTCCAGGCAAGCGGTGTCAGATGGAGGAGCCTTAGGCGTCATTGAATCCAAACCCCTCAATCTATGGGAAGCACACAGAGGCCCTGAGGCAGGCACTGGCCCAGGCCACAGAGAGCAAACAGGAACAGGGACAGGGATCGAGTAAAAAATACAGCACTGAGGAAATGGGAGAGCACAGCCAAAAAGACCTATGATGACTTTCTGGCCCATCACAACTCCCCTTTAAATAAGACTCCCTCCAGGCCAGTCCCAGAGATGCCCAGGCAGGCCTCTCTCCTGCTTCTGGGAAGCAGCCTGGTTGTGGGGAGGACAGCAGTGCAGGGGACAGCACATGGCCACAGTCGGGGCTCCTTCTCCAGAGAGCTTCCTTTCCCTGTACTTTGCATGACCCACAGGCTGGATACGGTGCCCCCAGGCTGGAGGTGAAGCTCAGGTCTCCGTGTATGTGGGGCAGGCACAGTACCTGTGCCCGAGCTGGGTGGGCGACAGTGAAGGCCAGCGGCAGGCCTGTCCTCGTTGTTACCACGCAAGCTGCGGTGCGGCTGGCACATGCCCGCCCGTGGGGAGGCCCAGGGTCTCACAGGGCAGTTCATGGCTGCACACAGGTCCTTCCTGCACAGGCAGAGAAGCGGCCTTCAGGTTAACCTGGCCCAGTGCCAGGCCCACCTGAGCCCGAAGACCAGGAAGGGTCCCCGAACTGATTCAAGCGAAAAGGATGTCCCTCCCACCGTTCTGTGGCATGAGGCCAGCACAGTGGCCACGTGGGAAGCAGGTGCTCTCATTCACACACAATCCGCTGGGTATCTTTTTGGCCTTGGGAGCAAGACCGCACAGAACAATTTTGCCTTACTATCAGCAGGGTGCTGACAGAAGCTGCCAGAGTCAGCAGAGGAAAATAACTGCCTCTGGACAGATCAGCAGTTGCCAGAGGTCAGGAGTAGGAGGGGAGGAAGGTGGCTGTGACGCTATAAACTGGTAATACGAGACATCCTTCTGATGGGGACAGATCTATTATCTAGACTGTGTGGGGTGGGTAGGTAGACCCACAGTGATGAAACTGCATAGAACTGAATACACACACATTCACACAAGGGCAGTACGTGGCAGACTATTGATATCTGAGGAAGTCTGCAGATGGTATCAATGTCAGTTTCCTGGTTGGGATACTGTGTGCTCTAGTCATGGAAGATGTTACTTACCACTGGGGAGTGGAAGAAGGCTATAGAGGCCCTCTCTCTGTAGTATTTTTGACAACAGCATGAAAATCTACAATTATTTCAAAATAAAAGACCTCCCCAAGTGCAGACAGAATCCAGCAGGCCAAGGTGCGGAAACTCTCTAAAAATGGGGCTCCCTGAGGAAACCGTGGCTCCCTCCTCCACCAGGGCTTCTCTGCGAGGCAGGAAGCACCTCCCTGCGATGCAGGCTCCCACCCTCCTGCAGCTGGCAGTACCTGGTGAGCAGGATGGCAGTGTCATGGTGCAGGGGGTGGGCGTCCCCCTTCATGTTGATGCTTTTCTGCCACTTGCAAGCTCTTAGTGTTGTCTGCATGAGGTGTGTGATCTTTAGGTCACTCCTGGGGCAGAGAATGACCGCTCATGCCTCCCTGTGGAGTTCTGAGAGAGGTCAGGCCCAATTCTCCTCATATAAAGGCAGGAGACAGAGGCCCTAGAGGCAGTGGGAGGCCCGCAGGCACCAGTCAGCTTCTGGCTGACCACCCCTCTGTAGAAACCTCCTGCAGAGGACCTGGGGCCACAGAAAGTCAGTCAGGAACCCAGGGTTGGCAGGGGACACGGTCCAGGCCAAGGAGAGGCCTTCACTGTGCCCTTCCATACAGAGCAACTGGTCATAGTGCAGGAGGAGGGCTCTGGCCGGAAGTCATTGCTGGGCAGCGTGGGACCACATGAACTCTCACCTCTTCATCTTCCAGAAGGACCAGGCGCACAATGGTGATGTGGATGGGGTTCCCAATACTGGGGTCATGAAACAGGCCAGCCACCTGCCCAAGAGATGGGGGGGTCAGGCTGTCACCAGGATGAAGGATACAAGCAGCCAATGCTCACCCCAACCCACCCACCCACCCAGGGGCAACGCACACCCCATGCTCACACACAGGGGCCTTTGACAAGTGCACAGGCTGCACAGGCGGAGAGGTGATGCCGATACGAATGCATGAGTGTCCTCCACCCTCCCACACACACTGCCCCAACCCGGCAGCAGCAGAACCTGGAGAGGACAAGAGGCCTCCGAGGCCCCTTCCCAGAGTTGCAGCCTCTCTTGAGCACCAGTTTGGGATCTGCTTCAAGTGCTCACTCCCATGCCCACCCAGCACAGGCAACGGCAGTTAAGACCTCCAAATGCTGGTTTCTTGGCCTGTCTCAGGGCCCTAGTCCTCCAACTGCCCCTGGTCTATGACAGCAGTGCCCTCCTGACCTGGGATGCAGGACCAGCATCTCAGGAGTGTGCCCTCAGTAGGCGTAGACCTGGGCAGGGCCCAGAGGTAGAGTGAGGGTAGGCACAGGGCCTATGGAGCCTCCCCCACTGCTCTACTATTCCATCTCCCAGGACTGGCAGCCATGGGGCCAGAGGCAGGTATGCATCTATCAGAGTCCCCCATGGCTACATGAGGGCTCCCTGCCCAGGCCCCGGAGACGGGGCCCCATCCCCAAAGATGGAAGATAAGCCAAGGTGAGGGAAATGGGTGGGGAAAGCCATCTGCTCTTTAAAAATTAGCTCCCTCAGAACAAAAAAGAGGCCAGCCCATGACTGAGGATAGCTGGCCGGTTCCCAGAGAAGAGCAGAGATGGCAGAACAGGCCAGTTGTGAGTTGGCTTTGTAATGCATCAAGAAAAATAATATTAAAATAGGAAGGACCAAGCAAACACTGGTTAAGAGGCACCCAAAGCCCCTGATTATGGGGATGAATGACACTCTCAGAACCCAAGGTCAGAAATGGGGAAGATAAACAGCAATATCATGGACCACCGTCACCTTCACACACAAGCTGGGGCCTGAGGAGCCCTGAACCATCTTTCTCCCAATACAGCCAACCAATTTTGCCTCCCAAGTTTTGCCTGACTCTGTCTCTTCTCTCCATCTCCAACACCACTGCCTCATCCAAGTTACCATCATCATCTCATCTGCTCAGCTGTTGAGGTCTCCTGAGTGTACCCATATTCTGTAGCCCTTCAGGCCACCTGCAGCCTAGTGGCTCCACCATCGGAAGTCTTTGAAATACCAAACCCAATCATGACCGCCCTTGCCTAAAGCAGTAAGTGGCTCTTCACTGTCCAGGAAAGGATGGAAGTCTAGCCTAGCCAACAGGCCTCTTGGATCTGGTCCCTGCAGCCTTCCTCTCTGACCTCCCCTTGCCTCCTACTCTCACTCTCTGGCTCAACCACTCTGTCTTTCTGTTAGAATCCATAATTCTTCCTAACACAAGGTCTTTGCAGATGCTATGGCCTCAGCCTGGAACATCTTCCCACCTGTCTTCCCCAAGTTACCTCCTATCCTCTCTCCTGCCCTCAACCCCTCGTCCTTGTCCTTTGGGAGCTTTTATTTTGATCTGCTGCCTCCCAAAGCACTATGAATTTGTCCTTCTAGCACCTCCCTCCATTGCTCCTTCATCGTCAACAAGGTAATGGTTTCATTAACTAATGTCTATCTCCCTCAAGAGACCGAAAGCTCCATGAGGACACGGCCAGGTATATGTAAACTTCCTCTTAGAGCCCCAGTGACATGTCTTGTACCTGGAACATGATGGGCACTCAAGACATAGTTGTTAGATAAGATGAATGTACCTTGAGTACTTGCTCAATATTTCCAGTATTATCTCATTAAAAATAAACAGTGGAGGTTGGGTGTGGTGGCTCATGCCTGTAACCCCATACTTTGGGAGGCCAAGGCAGGTGCATCACCTGAGGTCAGGAGTTCGAGACCAGCCTGGCCAAATGGTGAAACCCATCTCTACTAAAAATACAAAAATTAGCTCGGCGTAGTAGCACATGCCTGTAATCCCGGCTACCTGGGAGGCTGAGGCAGGAGAATCACTGGAACCCAGGAAGGCAGAGGCTGCAGTGAGCTGCGGTGCCACTGCACTCCGACCTGGGTGACAGAGCAGGACTCCATCTCCAAAAGAAAGAAAAGGAAGGAAGGAAGGAAGGAAGAAATGAAAGAAGGAAGGAAGGGAAGGAAGGAAGGAAGGAAGGAAGGAAGGAAGGAAGGAAGGAAAGGGAGGGAGAAAGAGAGAGAGAAAGAAAAAGAAAGAAAAAAGAAAGAAAATGGGGTGAAAGGGACCTGTCTTGCTATCCTTGGGACAGACCCAGCTCTAGGACTCAGGTCTGAATCTAGCACAGGAGAACACTGATAAATTGGGCTCTGTAGGTAGCGTTGGTAAAGAAAGGTGTGGCTGTCCTAAAGGTGGCTGTGGGTCAAATACTGCAGCAGCCAAAAAAATAGCCACAGCCAACCTTGAATGAGCCTAACATGTACAGTCCCTGTGCGGAGAAACGCATGCATTATCTCATTTAATCTTCTTACTTCTAAGGTAGGCACAATTATCCTTATTTTACAAATGAGTAACTGAAGCTCAAAGAGAGGTGAAGGCTGGGCTCAGAACCCAGGTTTCGCTGTACAAAGCCCTACTTATTTCTTAAATTTGGGAATGCTGCCTGCCTATTCTGTTGGGAGTTCTCAATGCATATTTATTTTGGGGGCTCTGAGAAGTCCTGTAGTAAAGAAGTCTGTTTTACCTTTTTTTTTTTCCCTTTTGAGGACGGGTCTCACTTTGTCACCCAAGATGGAGTGCAGGGTCCATGATCTCGCTCACTGCAGCCCAGCTGCAGCCTCGACCTCCTGGGCTCAAGCAATCCTCCCACCTCAGCCCCTCAAGTAGCTGGGACTACAGGCGTGCACCATCATGCCTGGCCTGTTTACTTTTAACCCTGTATTGTAGGCAGCTCAACAACAGCATCTTTTTTTCACAGTACACTACTGGCATTCTTTGGAGACACATTCCTGAAATATTCCCTGGGAAATGCTGCAATGAGACAGAGTCCCCAAGTGCAGGATTGTGCTCTTCCACATCCATCACTTTATCCCAGGTAGAGCGGTGCTCTCAGCAAGTCAGTCTTAAATAAACATCTGATCCCGAGAACATCTGTTCCCCATCATCTGGCCCACCCTGTCTGCCCCTCTCCAGGGGCAGATTAAGGGGAGCACAGGAGACAGAATGGGAGCTTTGAAGGCAGACAGACCTGAGTTCCAGTCAGCTCTACCACTTACTGACTGTGTGACCTTGAAGGCGAGCCCCTTGACTTCTCTGAATCTTTGTTCCCTCAACTCGAAAATGGGGATGAGGGCCGGGTACAGTGGCTCATGCCTGTAATCCCAGCACTTTGGGAGGATGAGCCAGGGAGAACAGCCTGGCCAATGTGGTGAAACTCCCTCTCTACTAAAAATACAAAAATTAGCAAGGCGTAGTGGGGCACGCTTGTAATCCCAGCTACTAGGGAGACTGAGGCAGGAGAATCACTTGAACCCAGGAGGAGGAAGTTGCAGTGAGCTGAGATCGTGCCCGTGCACTCCAGCCTGGGCGACAAGAGTGAAATTCCATCTCAAAATAAATAAATTAAATAAATAAATAAATAAAATGGGGGTGAGGCTTAGGTGAGGTGTTGGGTGTTGGGCATTGGACAAAGAAGAGTAGACAGATATTCACAAGGCTCCAGCCTAACCCTGCAGGCCTCAGCCCACAATACAGCCCCGTCCTCAGGCTGGCCATGAGTTCCCATGTCCCTGCCATCCCTACAGCCTCCTAGGGGGTCCAGCACTGTCAGGCTCAAAGGTGCCCCCAACCCCTGGAGTAAGGTTAGGGCTGGAGCCCTTGTGAATATCTGACCAATGCTGGGCTCACCAGCTCCAGAAAAGCTTGATACTGTCAGAGCAGGTGGAGTGTGAGAACCAGAGCCCACCCTCTCCCCAGGGATGGGGCTCACCAAGTGGTCATTAGGTCCTATGAGCCAGGGCAAGGCAGCCCAGCCAGGAAGGGCCAGGCCCTGGGGGCAAAAACACCTGAATCCTGTCACCCAGGTTAAGTCATGGGGCACCTGTTGGGCTGGGTGGGTCTTTTTTTTTTTGAGATGGAGTCTCGCTGTGTCACACAGGCAGGAGTGCAGTGGCGCCATCTCAGTTCACTGCAACCTCCGCCTCCCAGGCTCAAGATCCTCTCACCTCAGCCTCCCAAGTAGCTAGGACTACAGGTGTGCACCACCACATCCAACTATTTTTGTATTTTTGGTAGAAATGGGGTTTCACCTTGTTGGCCAGGCTGGTCTCCAACTCCTGACCTCAAGTGATCTGCCAGCCTCAGCCTCCCAAGGTGCTGGGATTATAGCCGTGAACCACAGCACCCGGCTCAGGTGGGTCTTACTTTGCCCAGAATCTGGGCACAGAACACTCAGAAAGCAGGTGTGAAATAGACCCAGTTAATCATCAGTGGCTCCAGCCAACCTCCTGGTCTTTCAGGCTGAGCCCAAAGTGCTGAATGAGAAGGAGGGAACCTCCAAGGCCTGAGAACTTGGCCTTGCCCCTTGCTCACCCCTGCCAGCCCAGGGGCAGGCCCTGCTGTCCAGCAATAGCCCTGCTGAACCCTGGCTGTTAGTGGCTTCCCTCCCTAGGCAGATGAGGCTTGATCTGGGCCTTAGGAGCCTCAAATGCCAGGCAGAAGGCTGTGACTTTTATTCCATATGGACAGAGGCAATGAGGGTGTCCCAGTCAGGAAGAACTGGCCCAGAGCTGCATTTGCTGATGAGAACTCAAGTAGTGGGGATGTGGTGGTCAGCACGTAGAGAGAACAGCCCTGGACGCAGTCCCTTCCTCTGTCTGAGCCTCAGGTTTCACAGTGATAAACTAGGGGGCCAGACACTGGATGATCTCAGGAGTACTTCCTTTAGGGTTGCAGGAGGTGTGGGGCTGGCAGGGGGAAGCAGCAGCATGAGATCCTGGCCCCAGGACTCCTTTAGATGTCATCACTATTCACAGCACACCCCTTACCTTGCCCCAACCACCCAGCCAGGAGAGAAACATGGTTATATGGTGGCCTGCCACCAGGTGGCTCACTAAGAATGCCAGGAGCAGAGATCTTTCCTCCCAGGGGCTGCAGGAAGCAGCAAGCCTGGGGAGCCTCCACCTGCACCCAAAGGGCAGGAGCAGGAGTAGCAGCTCTGCAGTAGTCGGCTCAGGAATCACCAGCTGCAATCAGCCACAGTTCCCGGTCGGGACTTAGGACACCTGGGCTCCCATCTGGCTCTACCCTGCCTCGTTGTGTGACCTGGGCAAGTCACTTGTCCTCTCAAGGCCTCTGATATCTCATCCATCATATGGGGTCAAAAGCAGTTTGCCAACCCCACAAGGAGTACTGTCGTCATACCCAGTTCACAGATGAGCAGGCTGAGACTCAGACGGGAGCAAGTGATTTGCCCAGGCTTCAACTAGTGACCACAGAACTGCACAGATCCTTCCCAGCTGTAATGTGTGCTGATGTCTCATGCAGGGTCTCAGGCAGAGTGTGTGTGCAGTCAGGCATTTCTGTGTTTCCAGCATCTAGCACAGGTCGGCACAAAGGAAGGAGGTATCTGTGCAGGAAGCATGAATAGACCAACTGGTCTGAGCCCCCAGGCAGGCTACAGAGTTGTGGCAGCCTCAGTCTCCGCTCCGCTCCCCCTCCCGGTGGCATGACACCCTGTGGTGTCCCCACAGCAGCCTCTGTCCAGGCTCTCTCATGGTGACTTGCTGCGGACCCCACCCTTCCTGCCTCAGGAGCTTGGATACCCGCTTCTTCCTGCTCAAGGCCTGGACCTAGGTCTGAGGTCCAGCCTGCCAACCTTCCTGCCCTGCACCCACTCTTTGCACCCCCATCCCCCAACACTATCCCCTCCACCCACTCCTGGCCCACACAGACTCACCATGTTCATGATGGTCAGCACATAGCTCTCAACCTGCGGCTGTCCGTGGTACTCCACCATTTTGGCATCAGCTACCACCAGATCTCCTACCATCTCTTGTGGCCAAGCCACGCTGGCAGGCACGCCTGCGTGTTCTTGCACTGCATGCTCCCATGCTCGTGGTTAGCCAGGACTTTAGAGTCGATAGATAGGAGTTTAACCTCAGCGACAACAGGCACATCTGCAGCTCTCAATAAACTCTCTAGAGTTTCGAGATTACTAAGATCAAGTTAAGACAGTTCCTCTCAGCCCCACCAGTCTTTATTGCTATAGCTTTAACTCTGCACAGTCACCTTCTTCTCATCTTGATTTATAAAAGCAAAATCAGTGTCTGCTCTACAAGAGGACCCTCAAGGCTGGCAATAAATAGGGATTATAAACACAGTAAAGTACTGTGTCCATGGGAGGAACTCCTGGGCCTGACAAAGCTGGCACCTGAGCCCCTATCTCCGTGTGTCACTTCCTCCCCTCTTGGGGAGTTAGTATCCCAACACAGGCTGACCTCACCCTCTAAGCCCCAGCCTGAGGAAGCTGGCCAAGATCCCAGCCCAGCTGGCCCTGCCGGAGCCTGCTCCCTGACCAGACTGCTCCAGATCAGAAGAGGATGCACATCTGTAGGCTGGGGAAACTGGGAGGCCAAGCACTTCCGTGGATATGTGCTCCAGCAAATAGAGGACCAGAGCTGTGGGCAACTTGAGATTGGCATGCCAGCCAAACATTCCTCAAACCTAGCAACCCTAGCAGGCAGCTCCTCACCTGGACTGCAGCCCTTGCTACTGCTGCTCTGCTGAGGCACTGAGTACACACTCCAATTCCCAATAATAGAGTAGTTATTCTAGGGTGGGAGCAGGGTGAGGCGGGGGAGGGAGGTTCTGGCTAGTGGCCCTGTTGGAGCTGGGCACTGGAGGAAGAATGGCTGGCAGAGCCAGGTGCCATAGGCTGTTGGGGAGGCAGAGGAGGTTGAGCCCCAAGGTGGGAGAAGGAGGTGAGGCAGATGAAGGAGATCAGACTGACTGGGGCAGGCCTGAAAAACAGAGGACACAGTCTTGTGGCACAATTAAAGGGCACAGGCTATGTTGATGTATCCAGCGTCTGTCTATCCTGTGTCCCCTGGTCTAAGGGGAGCACTGGGCATGGGAGATGTTAGAGGGCTTCTAGAAAGGCCTTCATGTCCCCAGGCCCACTTCACCCACCGAACTGGGAGCAGAAGGCATACCTTGCACCCCACAGGTGCTTGGAAGTACTGGAATCACCCCATTGTGCCAACCTCTCCGGGACCTGGCCTTGTACACCACATGGGGCTGGGCGTGGCCAGGCCGAACCGGGGCACCATCCAGGGCTCAATGAAGTAGTCCTCATTGGAGGCTGGAACACACCTTTCTGGGAAGAAGCACTAGGGTCACACAGGAAGGCTGGCCCACTGTGCTTCTTCCTGCATGTCCCAGAACCCGTCTGTCCAGCTGAGCCCCACTGCCCACACCACTTGTGACTGCCCACGGACACTCTGCACTTTCATCCCACTGGGCCTTTGCACACTCTGTAGCCTCCACCTGGAAAGCCCTTCTCTGCCATTTCACACACAGCCAAACCTTCAAAGTGAAGCTCAGAAGCCTCCGCCCCTGGGGAAGCTGCCCCCACCCCATTAGGAGAGGGGAAATGGGTCTGCATCCCAGTCTGACAGAATGGTGTCTTCCAGAGTCTCAGACAATATCCTGAACAGGGCAGCTTGTGTCCAGGCCTCAGGCTATTCTCCATCTCCTCTGCATGCCAGCTTCATTTCCAGCACTGTGCTCCCTCCCAGCTGGCCAGGGCTTCGACCTTCCCTCTCATCTCCCTAAGGCAATGAATCACTCCAAGCATCTACACCCACACCACGAGCAGAGGAGATGTTCATGAGCCTGGGGACACCCTGTTCTCTGGGCCCAGGCGCCCAGAGAAGGAAAGCTGGCAGGAGTGTCTTTGGACTATCCATAGCATTCAGAATCCACAGAGGAGAGGGCCCTGGGAAGCATCTTTGATACCCACTACCTCCTAGAAAGCTCAGGGGCTCCAACAGGGAAGAAGGTCTTACGTGCCTCGGACTTCCCCTCGTAGGCACCAATTCTGCCCCTTAGATTCACACAGGACCAGGAGCCTGGAGGGAGGGCTGGAGAGTGCATCCCGCTCTTGGGTCTGGAGACCTGGGTGAATCACGGTGTCCCACCTCCCACCCACCACTCACTGAATGACTAGGTGACCCTGGGCAAGTTCCCCTCTGAGCCTGTTTCCTCATCTGTGAAATGGGAATGATGCTCCGTGTGCACAGCTGCTGCTCAGGCTCAACAACATCAACTGTACATTAAGGGACAGGCGCAGGCTCCATAAATGAGAATACTGTGCAGGGCAGATGGGCCTTCAAAGGTCCAGATGTTGTGCAGCTTATGTTAATGGGCTGCCTGTCATTAGGCCCTGTGCAGCCACAGCCCATGGTTTTTGCCTGAGCAATCTAGAGCGCTGAGGCCTCCTGGGAACAGTGGGCGCTGAGAGTGTGCACACATCCCCTCTCCTCCCAAACCCCCACCCTCCAGAGCTGGGAGAGTGGGGCTGGTCACCAGCCACGAACAGAAGGGCCCTGCTCCGCCTGGAGTAGGAAGCTGCTCTAATCAGCCCAGTCAGGGAGCCATTAGGGCTGCAGGTAGTAGCCAGCACCACCCTTCAGCCAGACGAAGCCAGGAAGCTGAGGCCTGCTTTTCAGGCAGCTGAGTCGGGCAGAGGGGCTGAGGTTCCTCACCACCCTGCAGAATGGCTACCCAGGGTGAGGTGGCTTTCCTGGAGAGAGCAGCCTAAAAGGGACCTGTGAAGGAACAGTCATAACTGATGCCCCAGGGAAGAGAAGCCAACTGCTTTTTCGGTTACTTAGTCAGTCAAAGAGTTTCTCAAAGTGGGATCTCTGGACCTGCATCTTCAATATTACCTGAGGCAGTTTCAGAAATCCAAGTGTTTAGGCGCCACCCCAGACCTACCTGCAAACATTCTGTTTAAACAGGGCCTGCAGGTGATTTGAGCTCATAGTAAATCTTTTTTTTTTTTTTTTTCTTTTTCTTTTTAGTGCCTAGGGTCTGACTGTATCTGGCCCGGCTCTATCATCCCACACCTACATCCTTGAACTCCTGGGCTCAAGTGATCCTTTCACCTCAGTCTCCCAAGTAGCTGGGACTACAGGTGCACCACCACCCGGCTTTCACATTAAACTTTGAGAAGTGCTGTCAGGAATCAACGAGGCCTGCGTTGTCACTCCCACTTTACAGGCGTGAATGCGAGGCTGGCACCAGACAAGTGCATGGCAAGACTGGAGCAATCTCACATCCCACCACCTGAGACTGCCCCAAGTATACCGTCCCAGCGCACTCACCAGGCCGTCGCAGGCGCAGTGGCGCCAGGCCACCCTCGAGCTTCGGGGTCCACCTGCACCTCGCCAAGCAGGTGGCAGGCGGGGGTGTGGGCCTGGATATGCGCCTGGCTCCCAGGCCTCCGGCGCCGCGTCTCAGCCTCACAGCTTGACGCCAGCAGTGCTGATTGGCGGTCAGAGTTGAGCGCCCTTCATACATGTTATTTTTAGCTGGTACGGCGGGCGCGTCTCGGCGCACAGACACATCCCGCTTGCGCAGTGCTGCGGAGGCCACAGCTCGTAGGACAGGAAGGAGCCCCAGCGAAATCACTTGTATCGAACCGGGTGCACGATGTCAGTGCCGCCCAGCCCTCAGTTGCACGTCCTGCAGGAGAACCACAAACGCTAAGCCCAGAGGCAGACCCGGGTCCTTGCTGGTGGCCGGAGACAAGAAGGAGCGGCCAGGGGCTGCTGGAGTCAAATATCTGGATTCAAATCCTCCCTGGGCTATCTACTAACTTTGCCATTTCATCTTTCCGTGCCTCAGTTTCTCCATCTGGATCGTTGCAGTAACTTATTTTGTTGTTGTTGTTTTTGTTGGGGTTTTTGTTTGTTGTTTGTTTGTTTGTTTGTTTTGAGACAATCTCGCTCTGTCTCCCGGGCTGGAGTGCGTGGTGCGATCTCGGCTCACTGCAACCTCCGCCTCCTGGGTTCAAGCGATTCTCCTGCCTCCCAGGAGTAGCTGGGACCTGATCCTGCCCGACCACGCCCAGCTATTTTTGTATTTTTAGTAGACACAGGATTTCACCATGTTGACCAGGCTGGTCTCAAGCTCCTGAACTCAGAGCGTCGCTCGCCCGGCCTCCCAAAGTGCTGGAATTACAGGCGCGAGCCACTGCGCGCCCGGCCTGGATTGCTGCGGTAACTTCTTAACAGGTCTCTCTGTTTAACTGTACCTACCCCCAGTGCCCCTCCCCTCGTGTTTTCAATATAGAAGCCAGAAAGATTCATTTCAAAACCGAAGCGCGATCATGGTCTTCCTCTGCTCAAAATCCTACAATCGTACCCATCACGGAGCAAAGACAAATTCTGGCCTATATGAGGCCCTAGGGATAACCTCTCCAGTCTCATTTCCAACTACACACCTTGATTCCTCCTCCGCCCACTGGCCTCCTTGCAGTTCCTCCACAGGCAGACATGCTCCTGCTTCAGGATTTTGCATTGATGTTCCCTACACCTGGAACACTCTTCTCTCTGTTTTCCACGTGGCTAAAGCACTCACTTTTGAGTTCTTGCTCAAATGTCTCCTTCTCAATGAGGCCTCCTCTAATGACTTTATTTTAAAATTGCAACTCCCTGGCTCTCCCTATCCCCCTTCCTTGCTTTTATTTTCCCCATAGCACTTCTGACATACCATATCACTTGCATTTTCAGTATTTTTTTCTATTTATTTGTTTCTACTTTCCCCTCCCAATGTAATCTAGGAAGGCAGAATCTACATTCTTTGCACTTTTTTTTTTTTGAAATAGGGTCTTGCTCTGTCACCTGGGCAAGTGCAGGTGTGCAATATAGCTCACTGCAGCCTCAACTCCTGAGAGCTTGAGCCATCCTCCCATCTCAGCCTCCCAAGTAGCAAGGGACTGGGACATACAGGTGGAGTGCCACCACATGGCTAATTTTTTTTATTTTTAATTTTTTTAATGGGAGTAGGATCTCACTATGTTGCCCAGGCTGGTCTCAGACAAACTCCTGGGCTCAAGCAATCCTTCTACCTCAGCCTCCCATAGTGCTGGGATTACAGGTGTGAGGCATCAAGGCTGGCCCTGATTAATTTTTTTTTTTTTTTTTTTGGTAGAGATGGGAGTTTTGCTATGTTGCCCAGGCTGGTCTCAAACTCCAGGCCTCAACTGATCCTCCCACCTCAGCCTCCTAAATTGTTGGGATTACAGGTGTGAGCCACCACACTTGGCCCTTTATATTCTTTATTTGAAGATTTAAGTGTCAGAGGAAGTGTCCAGAACTTAGTCCTTTTTTGGTATTTGTTGAATACCAAAATTCTACTCTGTAGAATGCAGATAACCATACTTTCCACTCTACGATGCTGTTGTGAAGATTAAACCCGGTGAGCTACTCCACATTTAGCAGTGCCTGAGCCACTGGTGGAATATGATGGCAATTATGATTGCTATGATTATTATTAGCCTGATGGATTGAAAAATGTGCTCTCAGGTGCGTGAACATTCTGCAAATGTCTCCAGGCCTCCTGGAATGGGGAGACAGACAAAGACCACCCAGTGGGGCTCCTGGCCCTAACTGCCACTTCAACAGAGTAGCTCTGGTTTCTTTCTTTTATATACAAGAATTCATTTAAAGAAAGCTTCCAGGGATGGAAAAAATTGGCAGACCTCTGCTCAGGCCCTTGCACCGTTTAAAACCCCTCTCTGTTGCTCTGTCCTCTTGGATTTCCCAGTAAGGCCTGGATTCTTATCCCTTTTTGCCACAAACTCCTTCTCCTCAGAACAATGTTTTGAAATGCAGTAAATAAAATACAGAGGTGGTTGGGCACAGTGGCTCACACCTGTAATCCTAGTACTTTGGGAGGCCGAGGCAGGCGAATCACTTGAGGTCAGGAGTTTGAGACCAGCCTGGCCAACATAGTGAAACACCGTCTCTACTAAAAATGCAAAAATTAGCCAGGCTTGGTGGCGCATGCCTGTAATCCCAGCTACTCAGGAGACTGAGACAGGAGAATTGCTTGAACCTGGGAAGTGAAGGTTGTAGTGAGCCGAGATCGCATCACTGCACTCCAGCCTGGGTGACAGAGTGAGACCCATACAAAAATAAATATATTAAATAAAATACACAGAAGTACCAATGAAATTGATTATACTGAAATATAGTTATCCAAATAATTTAAGGCCAGGCATGGTTGTTCATACCTGTAATCCCAGAACTTTGGGAGAATGAGGTGGGAGGATCACTTGAGCCTAGGGTTCCAAGACCAACTGGGCAACATATTAGGACCTTGTTGCTACAAAAAAAAAAAAAAAAAAAAAAAAAAATTAGCCAGGCAAGGTGGTGCACACCTGTAGTCCCAGCTACTTGGAATGCTGAGGTGGGAGGCTCTCTTGGGCCAGGAGTCCAAGACTGCAGTGAGCCATGATGGTATGTTACTCAGCCTGGGTGACAGAGTGAGACATTATCTAAAAAACAAAACATAACAAAACAAAAAATAATTTAAAAAGTAGGGTGTGGAATTAAACAAGATTTTGTGGCATATTTAACAACTATGGTTTTGTTGGGTTTTTGTGACAGAGTCTCTCTCTGTCACCCAGGCTGTAGTGCAGTAGCTCAATCTTGGCTCAACACAACCTCTGCCTCCTAGGTTCAAGCAATTCTTGTCCCTTAGCCTTTCAAGTAGCTGGGACTATAGGTGCATGCCATTACACCTAGCAAGTTTTTGTATTTTTAGTAGAGACAGGGTTTTGCCATGTTGGCAAGGCTGGTCTTGAACTCCTGGCCTTGAGTGATCCACCCGCCTCAGCCTCCAAAAGTGCTGGGATTACAGGCATGAGCCACTATGCCGGGCAACTATGGAAATGTTGAAGTAGTGATGAACGTAAACCTTATTTCAAGATACGTGCAACAATCGTAATGAGATAGAAAAATATTTGGTTTGTTCTATTGGTAACAAAACCACAGGTGCTGTTAGGATTGCTAATGATATTCATAATTGAGAAAAGCTAAATTTCTTTGAGAGGTTACAAAAAGTAAATGTGTAATAATATTTTTCCCATTCAAGTTCATGGATCCCTGAGTTCCTGATCCCTTAGGCTGTAGGCAGGTGGACACCTGCAGTAAGATGTCAGACTGCTTCCTAGGTGAGAGAGCAAAGGAGGCTCAGAGAGGTAGACAGACTGGCCTAGAGCCACACAGTGACAGTAAGAATGACAGTGCACAGAGACTGGAACTCAAGTCCCCCAAATGATTTCAGTCTCTTCAGTAAGCATTATCTACTCTCCAACACTCCAGCCCTTGCTGGGTGTCTCAGTTTCCCCATCGTTAATGTGAAAAAGTTGAATTAGATCACGTTCTCAAATCTCTTTGTACCAGGTCTAGTCTCAAAGAAATCTCATGTGCTGGAGTTTGGGAAACTGACATCCATGCTTTCCTCGGCCTTTTCCTCTCTGCAGTTCCCAGGCTCTAAAACCACAGTTAGGAAACTTGGCAATCAGGAGTTTCTCGATTGGATTTATACCCAGCTCCCAGGATCCTGGCTGTTGCGACAATAGACTCTTCAGGCTCGCAGATGCCTGAGTGCCCTGCTGACATCCACAGAGGTTCCTTCTGCTGCTGCACCCAGTCAAAGCTCCCATCCCAGCCAGGCTACAGGAAACCAAACCCGCCCCTCCAGTCTGTCTCTGCCCAAACTGCATGTAGAGTGCACCCTGCGCTGCAGTGCTGTGCCCTGCTATCTCCCTCTGCTCCCAACCGCCCCAGCAGTGCCAGCCTCAAAGAGCCTTCTCTGAGAGTCAAGAGACTGGGTAGGCTGGGAGACAACGTGCTGTGTGGCTCTGAGCTAATCTTCCCTGTCATTGAGCTTCCAGCGGAGCCACTAGTGCAAAGGATTTTCCAGACCTCACAGATAAGTTTCTTAAAAAGAGTCCCAGGTCCATCCCAGACTCACTAAATCAGCATTTCCAGGAAGTAGGACTAGGGACTGGGAAGCTATGTTTTACCAAGAGCCTCCAGGAACTGTGATCCTCCAGGAAAGTTAGGAAATCCCCCTGGGGAGTGAACCTGACTGGTCATCACAGTACCTGGAAGCTCCTGAAAAACTACGGAATGCCAGGACCCAGCCCAGAGATTCTGGTTCCACAGATCCAGGCTCTGGGGGCCTAAACGTGTGTTTTCTGTATTTTTAGACTTCCCAGGATTCTGATCTAGCCAATTCAGAGGCTGGCATTCAGAAGCCATCGGACTGGAGAGAAATTTAAAGGAGACTCTTGCTCTGACATCCTAATAAGGCATATGGGACTACAACTCCTTAATCACAGCATGCAGATTTGCTTGTGTTGATCAGTTATTGATTTTTGGTTTGTTTTTGGCTAATACAAATACTGAAAAACGTTTTAGTCAACTGCCAATGTTGAAAAATCACATGATCTTGGGGCTGGGCACAGTGGCTCACGCCTGTAATCCCAGCACTTTGGGAGGCCAAGGCAGGCAGATCACGAGGTCAGGAGATCGAGACCATCCTGGCTAACATGGTGAAACCCCATCTCCACTAAAAATACAAAAAAATTAGCTGGGCATGGTGGCAGGTG